GGACGATGGAGGAGAGATGGAGGAGAGATGGATGAGATGAAGATGGATGAGATGAAGATGGATGAAATGAAGATGGATGAGATGACGATGGTGGAGATGAGGAGATGGAGGAGATGGAGGAGGAGATGGAGGAGATGGAGGAGGAGATGAAGGAGATAGAGGAGATGGAGGAGATGGAGGGGGAAGACGAAGAAAAACGGAATAACGGATGAGCATGGTACACAGTCTTCGTCCACGTGGCAGCCACATGGAAGGCATCGCGATCGGGGGCCAAGCTTCCTGTCGTCAGGCTGTAAGCGGCGGATACCAGTTCGAGGAGGAGGAGGGGGAGGAGGAGGAGGAGGGGAAGAAGAAGAACAAGAGGAGGGAAGGAAGGAACAGAGGACAAGGAATTTGCAGAGCCAGGCAGTAGGAACGTCGGGTTCAGAATACAAAGGAAAAAGAACGACGTTAAAAAAAAAGAACGACGTCGCCGAAGTCGACGAGGCGACGAGGGCAAGAGAAGAACGACGGAGAGGACACAAAAATGAAGGTTAATTAGAGATTTAAACCAAAAAAAAAAAGAATGCAGGGTACTTCTGGTCCTTCATGTCACGTGGAAGCCACGTGGAAGCCACGTGGCAGGCGCGAGCAAACAAGTGGGCAATCAAAAAAATCATACAGAAAAGAATAGCGAGCGAGCGGAGTAGGAGGAGGAGGAAGAGGAAGAGGCGCTATGGAGGGTATGGAGGTATGGAGGTATGGAGGGAGGTATGGAGGTATGGAGGAGGAGGAGGAAGAGGAAGAGGGGCTATGGAGGGGCTATGGAGGTCACAAGGAGAGGGGAGGGAGAGGGAGAGAGAGGGGGAGGGGCTATGGAGGCGACTGCTCTCGTCGAGCCACGTGGCGATCACGTAGGGATAGGAGATGGACACGGCAGGAAAGAAGAACAATAGTGAAAACAGTCCACTTGAGAAAGCAGAAGAATAGTGAAAACAGTCTTATTAGTTGAGGAAGAAGATCCATACATAGTCTCTATGGCTATAGCAAAATAGACAGTCTCTATGGCTAAAGCAAAATAGAGTGCTGCTCGTACACGCATATCCTTTAAAGAAACCTTTACAGCTGAGGGAAAAAAAAAAAAAAAAAAAAAAAAAAAAAAAAAAAGGGGGGGGAGGAAAAAAAAAAAAAAAAAAAAAAAAAAAAAAAAAAAAGGAGCAGGAGCAGTCGAAAATGGAACAGGAGGGAGCAAGCCGAGGACGACATGTGGGAAGAGATGAGGGTGAGGGGGAGCACATGCTTCGACAGAAAGGCAAAAAAAAAAAAATAATAATAATAATAAATAAATAAAAACAGTACTGCGGAGTTGTTGTTTTTTTTTTAATCGTTTTTTTTAATGTTTTCTTTTTCCTGTTGAAACATGTGCGAGCAGCAGTCTATGGCCACTGTTTTTTTTTTCACTATTCTTCTTCATCTTTCCCCTCAATCTCATTTCTTCCCACATGTCATCCACAGCTTTGCTCCCTCCTGTTTCTTTTTTTTTTTTTTTTTCCCCCTCCTGTTTCGTTTTCTACTGCCCCTGCTCCTTTTTTTTTTCTCTCTGTGGAAGAAGAATAAGGAAGACTTCCTAAGAAGAAGAAAGAAGAAAGAAGAAGAATTAAATCGACATGAAGTAGCGGGGTCGACATGGCCCCTGCGCAAGGAAGACGAGCATAAATCGAGAAATGGTCGATTAAAAAAATCAAAAAAGAAAATGAAAATAAAAAGGAGAAAAAAAAATAAAAAAGGAGGGAAAAAAAAACGGAGCTAGGCTACCAGCCGGGCGGCCCGGGTCACCTTCTTTGCCCGGGCGGCCCGGCCGTGCAAGGACCAGGGAAAGTCGCAGCACAAAAAAAAAAAAAAAAAAAAAAAAACCGAAAACAAAACTATGTTATGCAGAGATCCTGAACAACTTTGCCTCAGAATCACATCGAAATTCTTCACCTAATTCTAAATTAAAAATATATTTAAAAAAAAAGATGGGGGGGAAGGGGGGGGGAAGGAGAAAAAAAAGAAGGAAAAAAAAAAGGAGAAAAAAAATCATTAAAAAAAATCATTAAAAAATCATAATTAAAAAAAAAAGTTAAGCCCCAACAAGATGAGAGGACTTCACCGAACCCCAGCAGCACGGATATCTCGCACGAACAAAGAGTGATTCGATAAAACGCCTGAATCTGGACGTCTTTTACGCAGACATGCGGAAAAACACAGATCAATCGCGAGTTTCTGCACCTCTCCACAAACTCGTCCAGATTCAGTCCAATCCTCTCAGCTGCTACAGTAGTCGTGGGACATCCACCCCCGGTGCCAAGTCCCACTAGCAGCGTTGAGTTTCCTCGACGCCTGAATCTGGACATGTTTGTGTAGATGTGCAGAAAAAAAAAAACATATTCAGTTTCCTCAACCGCACATCTCCTCAAACACGTCCAGATTCATCCGCACATCCACGTCCAGATTCATCCGCATATCCACGTCCAGATTCAACCGCACATCTCCTCAAACACGTCCAGATTCAGGCGTTGAGCTCGTGGGACATACACACTCACACCCGTCCCGACCACACAGGCCGTCGACGCGACCACCACCCAGTTTTTTTTTTTTTTTTTTTTTCCCTCCCACACACACACACAATGTGTCTCCCTCCTCATTGCTCGTTTGCTAGGCATACCTTCTTCGCCGCAATCCAACGTCCTGTTATTTTTATCTGGGACACAATTCAGCCCAAATTCA